GAGGCTACATGAAAATATTCAGTAGTTCGTATGCAGAAGCAGATATGAGAATTCAACTATCTTCTCTTAAGCCAGACATTACAAAGATTTTGAAAATGTAAAAAAATGCCATTCTTCTATTTTCAAGTTAACTTTTTCCTCTTAAAGTCACTTTATTTTTTTTTAAGTTAATGTTAGCTTTATTTATGTAATGGTTTATATTTTTAATTTCGAATGCGGTAAATATCTAGATAGAACCCTGACAAACAAAACATCCGTTCCCACTCTCTGATGGAGTTGCTGGCTGACAGCAGTGCCGGCGGCCCCCCACCCTCGGCCTGGGAGCCAGATCCCTTCACCCCACAGTTCCCAGCGCCTCAGGGAGGGAGGCAAAACCTCTGCTTCTAAACTTGAACCAGGTGAGGCTGAGGGTATCACAGGGATTTCTAGAAAATTCAATCAGGTGCCTGGCTGGAGCCACCGCCCTATGCAAGACAATGCACCGGGGTCGAGGGCTCCCCCATGTGGCAGCTGAGACTGCAGAGGCTGGGAACGTGGAGGTGTCAAGGACTTGGAAGGCTAGTGCCCTCCGTGGTCTATAAGAGACTCCCTTTCCGCGAGGGTGACCAGACCTGGGACCTGAGCCAGGAAAGGTGGGATGGGAGGGGAAACGGTGAAGAAATCGGGTGCAGCGCCCGCTGTGAGGATTAAATGAAAGCCAGCCTAGTAACTGTGGACTGTAATATATAATCATTTTCATACCTACAGCTAATACTGGGGAAGCATTTACCTATGTGCCTGGCTCTGAATTTAAGCACTTTATATTTATTAGCTCTTTAATGCTCACAACAATCATTTGAGGTAAGTACTATTATCTGCCCCCATTTGTAGGAATAAAGCTGAAATCCAAAAAGAATACTTACTTGTTCTGTCTGCCAGCTGGCGAGTGACAGAGCTGGGGTTTGACCTGAGCAGGCTGTCCAGTTTCAGAGCGTGCGCTGTCTTCGCTAAGGTTACATCACCTCTTAACCTAATGACATCCCAAGTGTGTAAATTGGTACCTGAATCAACTTAAGTGGGCCATTAGTTTGTCTGAGCTGGCGATTTAGCCCAGCTCCAGGGCAAAGATTGCATTCAGCCTAAATTTGTGTTTAGCACAGGGATCAAGTTTCTGCTGGCAGGAATCATGGAAAGGATTACTGCAGACCTACAAAGCCCTTTTGTTCCTGTGACTCCTATTCACATGTCTCCCACACTCATCCCTTAGTACCAGCACCATCCCGCAGATTTGGTGGTTTTGTTCTCCCTCCCCCACTGCCAGCAATTTTACTCATAATGAAATAACAGCCAGAAGTAAATACATAATAAATAAATAGGCAACATTCGGAAATTATGTTAGTCTGCCTTCAACTCCCAAGTAAAGGACCATGTCCAATTCATGAGTGTGTTCTCAGCACCAGGCCTGACATACAACAGGGGCTCAAAAACTGTAGGGCGGGTTGGACATTCAGTCTTCTATCTGCACTGAGCTGAGGATTAAGGAGAGGGTGGTGGAGGGTGCAGGTTAGGTAAGGGCAGTTGTTGGGGGCCAGGATTTAATGGGTCCAGTGGAAGGAAATCCCACCTCTTCCTGCTGCTTCCCCCGAAGTCATAGATCTGGTGACAGGTAGAGTGTAGTCAAGGCTGGGCCCACCAAAATCCATCGTCTCTTTTTTTTAAATCCTCACCCGAGGACATTTTTGTATTTATCCTCAGATAGAGTGGGAGGGAGAGAGGGAGGAGGAGAGAGAGAAACATCGATGTAAGAGAGACACATCGAGGTAGTTGCCACCCACACAACCCCAACCGGGGGCCGGGGACAAACTGCAACGGAGGTTTGTGCCCCTAGTGGGAACCGAACCCGGGCCTGTCTGGTCCACCGGCCGATGCTCTAATCTCTGTGCCAAACCGGCCAGGCCCACGGTCTTTTTTCATAGTGGGAAAAAACTAGGAGTATGTTCCTAAGCGCACTTTTCATCTAGGGTGGACACAGTATGAGCAGAAGTGAAATGTGTACAACAGGCTATGAAATAGCACGATGAACTTTCTCCGCACTGTCCTCTGCTAGCTGGAAGCAGATAATTCTGAGCACGTGGAAATGATGGGGCCCCGGGACAAAGTCTGGGTGTGTGAAGCAACACTGGAGGTTGCTGCCAATCAACCAGAACCCCTACACCAGACTGTGCGAGAGGGGGTATTTGTTATAGCAGATGGTATTACTGTTAACACACTGACCACTGTCCCCTTCTGGGCTCCCTGATACCGTAAAGATTAAGCGCTAGGTCATTCTGTAAAGTGAGTCTGTAATCCCCAACTGTGGTCAACTTTCACACAGCAGGTGTCAGTTTCTGTGGATGAAAAGGGGCCACAAACTAAACCTGACAAGTTCAGGGGAGGCCTGTGTGGCAGCCTTACAAACTCGGAGACCTGAAGTAACCAAACAGGATTGTGGTCGGCAGTTAGACATGAGCAGAGCAAGGACAATGGTCAGGTACAGAAGGTCACCCGGGAGGAAAGCCCCGGGTGCCTAGCACAGGACAACTGTAGGGTGGGACCTCGACCCCAGGGTGACCTTTCTTCCCCTAGCATATCCTTGGTCTTGTGGTTTGGAACCCCAGACTTTTCCTCCTTAGGGGCCTCAGTTGTATTTCATATCCTTGCTTAGAAAAGCAGCAAAACCAAACAAGCAACTCCGTGCTGACCTCAGGACTAGCCACATTGAACAATGACCCCCTGCCTTGGCCCTGACCAATCAATCAGTGGAGACACTACCCTGCCCCCTCCCCAAAGGACACATCTAGAAAGCTGCTGAATATTCTATTGAGATCTTCCCCTGGGACACCCCTAAAATCTCCTCCCTTAAAACCTTTACAACAGAGGACCCAGCAGCACCCTCTCCCTCCAGGGAGCATGTCCAGCGCCCGCCCCCCCCCCCCCCCCTTCTCACTCCCAAGCTCCAAGAGCCCTTTCTTTACCTCTATAACTTGTTTCCTAAACCCATTTCTTCTATAAATTACATCTTCTATCTCTATGACTTTCCAAATAAATGTTCTCATATACTTTGAGTCTTGGCTCTGAATTCTTTCCTAGCCAGAACTCAAGTGCCAAGGTTGCTGAACCCAGGTCTAGTCTGACCCCACCAGTCTAACACCTGGTGCTGTTCCCGTGGCCCCCAACAGGATGGTCTGAAATTAAACCATTTTAACTGCCCTGGCTGATTTGGCTCAGTGGTTAGTGTCAGCCCTCGGACCAGAGTCGCAGGTCTGGTTCCGGTCAAGGGCACATACCTTAGATGTGATTTGTCCCCGGCCCTGGTCAGGTCGTGTGGGAGGCAACCAGCCGATGTGGCTCTATCACGTTGATGTTTCTTTCTGTCCGCTCTCCTTCCTTTCCTCCCACTCTATCTGATGATAAAATAGAAAAATATCCTTGGGTGAGGAATAGAAACAAAAAGAACCAAAAACATTTTAACTAAAAGCAGTTCATGGCAGATAGTCATGTCTTAGGCTAGAATCATTCCTCACAAAAGTCAATCTTGACCTTAATTCAGCTTGTCTATTGTTTTTTTTTGCATGAATGCTAACATACCTTTAGAATGAATGTCAAGGTAACGTCTCTTTTTCCAGAACCCACTGGCATAACAAGGTGGAGACCAAAAATCCTCATTGTTATTGTTGCCAACTTAATTGTTGACTGTTAACCATCCTGGACCCACCTATGTAAAAAGTATGTGTCTATTTTACTTTTTATCCAATCCCAGAGTTTCCCCCACCCTTTGCTTTCTCCTGCCTCCCTAATCTATCACCAAAGGATTTCATGTAACCCACTTATGCCTCCTCTTTTCATTGTAATGTATAAAATAAGGTGCAAAACGGCCATTTTCCCAATCTGTTGAGATTTTACTTCCCGGCAACTATCCTCAGTTTGGCTCAAATAAACTCATAACAATTATCTACAGGTTTGAATGCTTCTTACGTTGCCCTGACCCGGAATCAAACCAGCAACCTTTCGGTGCACAGGATAAAGCACAACCAACTGAGCCCTCCAGCCAGGCAACGCACATTTTATATATGTATCATATGCTGTTTTCTTATAATAAAGCTAGAAAAAGAAAAATGTTAAGAAAGTAATAAGGAAGAGAAAATCATTTACAGTATTTATTGAAAAAGATCTGCACAGGTCAGACCCTTGTTGTTCAAGGGTCAACTGTATTAAGTGAACAGGTAAGGTTCTCCCACCCATAGGGACTATGGTAGAACTACTTGCTGACCCCCAACATCCCTTCTCCCCAGCTTCTATAGTATAGGAACTTCTGATATTTAGCTAGGAACATGGCTGCCAGAATAAAAACATTTCCCAGCCTCCTTTACAGTTACAAGGGCCATGACACAAAATTCTGGCCAATGAAATAGGAACAAGTTTTGGGTTGTACATATATATTTCTAAAGGCAAGGGGTATCCCCTCCTCCCTGATCTTGGTGCCAGGAGCAGATGGGTGGGACTCATGAGGAGGGATGGGAGAGCAACAGGATACATGGAGATGAAGACTGGCCTCTGACATGGAAGGGCCACCATATTAGCTCTCATGATCACATAAGATTTTACATGGAGAAAAATAAACTTCAATCTTGTGAAAGCCACTATTATTTTGGACCTATTTGTCATAGCAGCAGAATATTATGTTAGCCAGTAAAGGACGAAGAGGAGTCTCATGGACCTCCAGCTACCAGCCAGGGGATAAAGCCTCAGCCTGCCCAACCTCTACTTTGCTCAGCCCCCCATTTCACCCTCGCCTACCCAACTGCCCCCAGCCCTTCCTAGGATCACTGAGTCCGCCAAAGGCTTCCCAGGTTTAGCGATTGAAAAAAAAGTTTTTAAAAATTATTTATTATTTGAGAGAGAGAGGAAGGAAGGGAGAGGGGAAGAGAGAGAAACGTCGATTTGCTGTTCCACTTATTCATGTATTCATTGGTTGACCCCTGTATGTGCCTTGACTGGTGATCAAACCCACAACCTTGGTATATGGGAATGGCCCTCTAACCAACTGAGCTACTCGGCCAGGGCTAGGTCTGGCAAATTTAATACACAAGTCTCAAAAATCCATGGCAAGTACAAAGTGAATAAAATAAAAACAGGGTCAGGGGAAGGGAGCCATGGGCATACAAAGGGAGGGGCAAATAAGTGGGCGAGTTAGCTGGATCAAGAGGATGCCCTTCCTTGAGCATCACATCTCATCCAACCCATAGTCCTCCTCAGGGAAATCCCCCACGGTCACAACTGACGGCTTGAAGAAGGCACCATACTTGGGCTGGCATTCGAAGTAGCGTTTCCCATTCACACTGCCGGACACAACGGAAAAGGCAGAGGTCAGAGGGCTCCCAATATGGCTCCCTCCCCAGATGCCAGGATGGACAGGCTCACTCAGTAGTACATGCAGGCACTTACACAACATGCCCACAGACATTCACACAGACGCCGGAGTGGGAAGACTTATTACCTGCCATCGTTTTTCCCTAGTGGTTCATCGAAGCGGACGCCGATCCAGTAGCCAGGCTTGAAATCTGTGAGTCCTGCCCAGGGGAGAAATTCCAATGAAACCTCCAGACGCAGCTCATCCCAGACTCCTGCCTGCCCACTGAATCTAAAGCCCGTCTTGGCGAAACCACTCCTTACTCGGAACACCGCCAGCTCCTGCCCAGACTGACATGGTAGCCCCCTTCACTGGTCTCCCTGCTCCTATCCCTGACCCCCTATTCATTCGACGCTCCCAGCCAAAGGGGTCTTTGTAAAAATCAAAGGGAAATAGCACCATTACCTTGACCCAAATTCCTCAAAGGCCGCTCATCCCACTCAGCACAAAATCCACACTGCTTATGGTCAAATGATTTCTGACAAGGGTACCAAGACAATTCAATGAGAAAATAATAGTCTTTTCAACAAATAATGCTGGGACAAATAGATACCCACATGCAAGAGAATGAAGCTGGACTCCTACCTCACACTATACACAAAAATTAACACAAAATGGTCATCCGAGACCTAAGTGTAAGATGTAACACTATAACACTCTTAGAAAGGGGGGAGGAGGAGGAGGGAAGGTGTACAAGGGGATAAATGGTAATGAAAAAAATGAAGAAAAAAATCAGCTGAGATTTGAAAAAACAAATAAATAAAACTCTTAGGAGAAAATATAGACGTAAATCTTTGTGACTTGTGTTAGGCATTGGTTTCTTAGCTATAATACCAAAAGCACAAGCAACAAAAGAAAAAACATATAAACTGAACTTCATAAAAAGAAAAAAATATTGTGCTTCAAAGGACACTATCAAGAAAGTAAAAAGACAACCAACCCACAGAATGGGAGAAAACGTTTGTGAATCATCTATTTAATAAGGGAATTGTATCTAGAATATATAAAGAACTTTTAAAACCTGTCATGGGCTGAATTGTGTCCCCCAAAATTCACATGTTGAAGCCCAACCCCTGTACCTCAGAAAATGACTATATTTGGAGGTAGGGCCTTTAAAGAAGTGATAAAGTTAAAATGATTAAGTTATTATGTGATTAGGTTAAATCTGACTGGTGTCCTTATAGGAAGAAATCTGGACACAGAGAGACACCAGAGATAGGCATGCACACAGAGGAAAGACCATGTGAAGATACAGCGAGGAGGTGGTCTTCTACAAGCCAAAGATAGGCCTTGGGAGAAACCAAACCTGCCAAGGCCTTGATCTTGGACTTTCAGCCTCCAGAACTGTGAGAAATAAATTTCTGTTGTTTAAGTGATCCAGTATGTGACACTTTTTTTGTTTGTTTTTAATTTCTTTTTCCTTTATTGATTTTAGAGAGAGAGGAAGTGAGAGAGAAACATCAATGAGAAAGAACATCAACTGGCTGCCTCCCGCATGCTCCCCACTGGAGATTTGGCCCACAACCTGGGCATGTGTCCTGACCGGGACTCGAACCGGCGACCTCTTGGTGCATGGGTTGATGCTCAACCACTGAGCCACACCAGCCGGATAAGTGTGTGATACTTTGTTATGGCAGTCCCAGCAAACTAATACACAGCTCAACCACAAAAAGACAAACAACACAATTTAAAAACAGACAAAAAGGATCTGAATATATATTTCTCTAAAGATAGACTGATTATAATTAAGTACATGAATAGATGCTCAACATCATTAGCTATCAAAGAATTGCAAGTCAAACCCATAATGCTTTACCACTTCATACCCATTAGAATAACTATCATCAAAAAATAGTAAGTGTTGGAGAGGATGTGGAGAAATTGCAGCCGTTGTAGAAAACAGGGTGGCAGTTTCTCAAAGGTCAAACAGAGAGTCCCCATTTGACCCAGCAATTCCACTCTTAGGTATAGAGAAAGGAAAATATATGTCCACACAAAAACTTATACAAGAATGTACACAGCAACATTAGTTGTAAGAGTCAAAAAGTGGAAAAGACTCGCCCTGGCCAGTTTGGCTCAGCGGTTAGGGCACGTACCTCGCTTGCAGTTTGTCCCCGGCCCCGGTTGGGGTTGTGCGAGAGGCAGCCACTAGATGTGCTCCTTCCACGTCGATGTTTCTCTCTTCCTCTCTCTCTCCCTCCCACTCTGTCTGAGCAAAAATGGTAAAATGTCCTCAGGTGAGGATAAAAAATAAAATAAAAATGGAAAAGACTCAAATGTCCGTCAACTGTGATGAATCAATAAATAAAACGTGGTCTATCCATGCAATGCGATTGTTTGGCAATAAAAAGAAATGAAGTACTGATACATGCTACAACATGAACGAACCTTGAAAACATTATGCTAAGTGAAAGAAGGCAGTCACAGAGACCACATGATATAGTATGAATCCATTTACACAAAACATCCAGAATAGGCAACTCCACAGTGGCTGCCTAGAACTAGGGGAGATGGGGTTTCAGAAATGAGGAGTGGCAGCTAGTGGTAACGAGGTTTCTTTTTGGGGTGATGAAAATGTTCTAAAATTGACTGTGGTGTTTGTACAATTCTGTGAACACACTAAAAACCAATGAATGAATAATGTATTATTTAAATGGGTGAGTTTTATGATATATGAATTATATAACTCAACAACGTTGTTATAAAAGATAAAACCCTGCCCGGCCGGTGTGGCTCAGTGGTTGAGCGTTGACCCATGCACCAAGAGGTCGCCGGTTCAATTCCCGGTCAGGGCACATGCCCAGGTTGTGAGCCAAATCCCCAGTGGGGGGCATGCAGGAGGCAGCCAATCCATGTTTTCTCTCATTGATGTTTCTATCTCCCTCTCCCTTTTTCTCTCTCTCTGAAATCAATAAATTAAAAAAAATTTTTTTAATTTAATAAATAAAGCCCACTCTTTACTGTCTACAAAGCCATGCATGGTGCAGCCCTGAGCATGCTCCTGACCTCACTTCTTACCGTCCCCTCGCTCACTTCCTACTGGCCATGCTGATTCCTAACTCAACAGGTCGAGTTAGTTCCTGCTCACAGCTTTTGAACTCACTGCTGCCTCTGGCTGGAACACTCATCCCCCCTTCTCACCTGGCTCACTTCTGTCTTTCCTTCATAGTCCTTGCCCCAGGAAGCACTCTGGATTACTCTCGCGGAGGTCTGGTACTTCCTCTCAGCTCAGTCTCCTACGCTTCCTTCATCCCTGCCCTGATCACTCCGACCCGTGCTTTCCCCATCGCAGCCCTAAAAATCCTGTGTTTCCCCAGCCTAGCTCTGACTACTTTTGCCTCAGAATTAACCACTCTGGCCTCCACTTCCTCTATCACAGTGCTTCTCAATCTTCCTAATGCCACGACTCTTTAATACAGTTCCTCATGTTGTGGTGACCCCCAACCATAAAATTATTTTGGTTGCTACTTCATAACTGTAATTCTGCTACTGTTATGTCTTAGGTGACCCCTGTGAAAGGGTCGTTCGACCCCCAAAGGGGTCGTGACCCACAGGTTGAGAACCACTGCTCTAACACAACCCAGATCATTCTGCCCCTGCTTCCCAGTCTCCCCAGCATTGCCCCCATCAGGCAAGGCAGGGCAGGGCATAAGACCTCAGTGGGCCACATACCTACATACATGACGATGCCCCGGCGAGAGGGCTGCCCAGGCGCCCGCACCTCGCAGCGGCTACCCACGGGGATGGCACTGGCCTGGGCCTTCTCCTCCTCGAGGCGCTGGGTGGTCTCAGCCTCTTGCTGTGCCCGCTCCTCTTCATTGTATCGGCCTAGCTTGCTGCGCTTCAGGAAGGAGCGGACTGTGTCTGTGAGTGGGTTGGGTGATGGGGGTCAGACTTAGTCTCCCTGGTAGGGCCTCTGGCCTAATGAGATAACCTTCCACTCACACAGGGCTAACAATCATGGAGAAACTCTTCTGTTCTAGGTGTCAAAGGGCTGTCATCCAAGCCCCCTAAATCTCCCACCACAGCCCTGGCCTCTCCCAAGGCTCCCTGGTGCCTCCCCATAACCCAGAAACTAAAGGGAAGATTCGTGTCTCCAGTCTCACATCACCCCATCTTCCCACATCCCTTCAGTATCACATTCACCTCCATCCATCCCGAGTCCCTCCTCATCTTCCTCGTGTCTGTACTGATCACCACACTGCCCTGTCTACTCCACATATTCTCCCATGCTCTGTCCCATGTGACCCTGAGCACTCTCCTCACACCTGATCCCTCACACCTCCGACCTCCCTCTAATGCCCCCTCCACTTTCCTGTGCATCTGTCTCCTGCCCACAGTCCCTCACACCTCCCAGCTCTCATTAGCACCCTATGCCCTTTCCACACCTACTGCTCTCCTATACCCTCATCTGTCCCACCAACCTCACCCCCCCTCCCCTGCCTATCTGCTCCCACCACCCATTTCCCCCCAATGTCCCTGTCGATTTCTGCCCCCCAACACCACCATCCACCTACTTGCACACACTCCTTTTGGCCTCCACAAGCCCTCATTTATCCCCATGTGCCCCATACCTTGCCTCTGGTCATAGGCTTCTTGTGAGATCTGGTATTTCTCCACCTTGGATACATCCTCATACTCCCCAAGGCAAGCACCGCTGTGGTCAATGACCTGGAATGACAGGAGCGGTCAGAGGGGATCAGGATCTGGTCAGGGAGGCTTGGGGTGCTAGGGTGGTGATACAGTTGCACATTGGAGCATCCATAGACTTAAGTCTCTCCCGTCTAAAGAAAACTACATTCTCCCCTCACTTTACCCCAGCCTCCTCTCATCCCGAGACCGGCAGAAGGGAGGAGAGCAGGTGTCTACAGTAGTCATCTCCCTTTCCTCTCCCCTATTCAAACCCTGAAGGCTCGATCTGCCCCACACGCTGGCATCAACATCGCTGAGCTCGGTCTTGCTCACGAACCAAATAGGCAGTGTACATGTTCTCTCTGGGCCTCTGAGATCCTCTTAAGCTGCCCTCAACGTCCAGACCATGGAACATTTCTTCCTGTACCACCCTCAAGGTTCATTAACTCATTGCTTGCTGAGCTCTTTCAAGGCACCCAGTTGGCTCTATGCTGGCTGCTAGGGATGCAGTGCAAAAATAGATAAACGCCTGGTGGGAGACCAACCATAAACAAATACACAGGTATGTATATTAGACACAAACAATAACAAAGTTCGATATAGAGAAATACCACGGAGAGTGGGAGACATAACAGATCAATAGGTTTTGCTTTCAGCTGGAATGAGATACAGTCAGGGAGGCTCAGCCAGGAGGGCTTGACCTGACCCCAGTTCATAGGCTCCCTCTGGCTGTGTGTGGAGAACAGAGTGTGGGGGCCGGAATGGGAGCAGGAGACAGAGGCGGTTTTGATATCCAGGAAGGAGAGGATGGAGGCTGGGCCCGAGTGGGGCAGTGGATACAACTAGAGGTGTTTGGCCTGAACCACTGAGCTAACATACCAAAAGAGAAATGGCTCTTATCTCTGATGAAGGATCACTAAGAATTTCTACTTTCTTTATTAAGGATTTTTGTAAGTTTGAGGATGCTGTCATTTTAAGCTATAAATACAAGTAATATTTATAAACAGAAAAAGTTTTAGAACAAATAAAAATTCCCCAGAGGCTCCACCTCTGGGAAACCTTCCTTGAATAGCCTCAGAAGTAAGAGGTCTGTCTATACCTGAAGCCATAAAGGAAAACCACCCGTTTGAGGATGCCACTGTCCATGCCTGGCCCTCCAGCACCCCTAGGCTGAGGCTGCCCAGGGCAGCCCAGTTTCAGTGCTGTGGTCTATCCATATAATGCTGACCCACATTCCTGACCCTACCACATCATCTGGACTATGGAAGCTGCCCCCTCCCTCGCCTCCCTACTCCTTTTACCCTCCACAGTCTGCTACAGTCTGTTCCCCACACGTCATGAGAGCCTGTGAACACTTCACTCAGACCAGGGCTCTCCGGACTGAGTCCTCCCTTGGCTCCCACTTCCCTCTGCCATAGGAGCGGCCACTCTTCAGTCCTTTGTACCCACCATGCTCCCTCCCATCTCAGAGCGTTTGCACATGCTGTGCCCTTCTCCTGGAGCACTCTCTTCCTTTCTTCTGTTAACTCTTCCTATCCTTCAGGGCTCTGCTAAGGCAGCACCCCCTCTACGAAGTCCTCACCGATGGGTCATGTCCCTCCAATTCCTCGGTCTCCTACATGGTCTTCATCTCATGACCCTATTTGTTCTTGTGAATAGTTAGCTCACATCTATCTCACACAGGACAGAGCTAAATAGAGACCTTCTTAGACTTGGTTCACGGCTATAACCCTGGTGTAACACAGATGCCCAATGAACAGTTACTAAATAAATGAAAGAGACAAAAAATAAAAGAACCAGATCTCTCGGCACAATGACTTCTGGAGACATGCATACTGAGGTAAAAATTCCAGCTATAACCCTGGACAGTTTGGCTCAGCGGTTACAGTGTCAGCCTGTGGACCAGAGGGTCCTGGGTTTGGTTCCTGCTGGGGGTGCATACCTCGGTTGCAGTTTGTCCCCGGCCCTGGTTGGGGTCGTGTGGGTGGCGACCACTCGATGTGTCTTTCTCACGTCGATGTTTCTCTCTCTCTCTTCCCACCTCTCTCCCTCCTGCTCTGTCTGAAGATAGATGCAAAAATGTCCTTGGGTGAGAAAAAAAAAATTCCAGCTATAGTTCCTCCTTAGGAGAGTAAATTCCATCTTAAAGCTAAGTTTTCTCTTCTGCAAAATAGGGTTATTTACACTATCTTCCAAATCTGATTTTACGGACTCAACTCATTATCCAACAGTGCCAGGCATCGTTCCAGGTGCTAAGAAAAAATGCAGTACATCACAGGATGATGAGAGCTAAGGACAAAAATCAAATAAAGAGAAAGAGGAAGAGGTTTAAAGGTTACACTGGAGCCAGTGAAGGCCTCACACTCCAAAGTTGACATTTAAGTAAAGATTGGAAGGAAGGAGTGAGCCATGTGAGCATAGAGAAAGAACCATTCAGGTATAGGGGATAGTACATGCAGGGCTGATCTGCCGAGACATCTGAGGACTATGGCAGGAAGCAGAGTAGGGGGAGGATTGCGGACAGAGATGATGTGAGCTGATGCATGCTGAGGTCCTTTGTGTTCTAGCTTCTCCCACCACATCTCTGCGTTCACCCTGACCCACCTCACACTCTAGGCCTCTGTACACTCTGCTTCCTCCAGCTGGCATGCCCTTCCCACCTCTTCTCCTGAGTCGTCCTTTCCTCATCCTTCACGTCTCAGCTTAGGCATCTCTTCTTTCAGAAAGCCCCTTCTGATAATCCCAGATGGTCCCCAGTACCCTGGGCTTGCCCCAGCCAAACCACTCTGGCTGATACTGTCCAGTGACGGGTCTGTCTCTCTCCATACTGAACTCGAGGCTCCATGGGGACCTCTCTTGGTTATCACATAGGGCAAAGTGTGGCAAGCATCTGTTAATAATAAATAAATGGAGAGGAGGGATCCCAGGTCGGGAGGTCTCACATGGATGCGGCAGCCGTCATCAACGGGGTAGGAGCCCAGTAGTGCATCCTCTTGATCCAGCTTCCCATACAACTTCTCGTCAGCTCCGTACAGCTCCAGTTCCATGCAAGAGGCAGGGCTGCCCACCACCAGCTCTAGCTTACACTGCGAGGAGTAAGGGATGGGGAGAGGTTGGAGAGGAGGAAGGCTGTCTGCCCTGACTCTCCGCCCCTTGTATCAATAACCATCCCTCCATCTTCGCTCCTCTAACAAATCCATCATTTTAGGATTCAATTGGTTATCGTGGCCCTGCCCCCTCTGCTCTGGTTCCCGTCCTCTGAAAGCTCTGATTTTCCCAGGCTCTGGCCCCTTCTCTGGAACCTCCGGCTCCCTCTGGACCCACCCTGCTGTGGTCGGGCCCCCAATCTCGGCAACCTCGGTTTATTTCTGGCCTCTCTCCCTGCAATCCAGAAGCCCCTCCATTTCTTCTTTGCCCCGCCCCTCCGGACCCCGCCCCACGGTCACACCTTGAATTCAGCTATCGTGAGGCTGCGACTGTACCGCTTCTCGGAGCGAAAGGTGTTTAGAGAGCTGCTGATGAAAACGGTCACTGTGGGCGCCGAGAGCCCGGTCACCTCCATCTTGCCGCGCTCCGGCTGGGTCTGCAGCCCACTTTTCCACCTCACACCGGCTCTGTCGCCGCCGCCGCCGCCGCTACCGCTTCTGGACTATTAGCCCCCACCCCCTGCTCCCGAAATAGCCAATCCTCGCTTTCCTGCAGGGTGGGTTCGCCAATCTCCGCTGCCTGCTCACCGCCGGAAACTCCCCCGTATTCTTAGGGAGGTCCAGCCAATCCTGAGAGGCCTGACTTGGTGCAGTCCTTCCAATAGCAGTCCGGGAGACGGATCGGGCTGGTGAAGGCTGAAGCCGAGAGGAACGACTGGCAGGAGTTACACACGCCGCGGAGGGTAAACTCGCGCATGTGCACTGGCTCCCCCCCCCCATAGCAATGGCTTCTTCATTTATGCGCAGTGCTTGTTTGAGTTACATGACGCGTCCTAGTCCCGGCTCTCGTACTATACTATTCTATAAATTGGGGGAGCGAGGCCCACAGGTCGGAAGCAATTAATTTATGCTACAAAAAAATTGAATCAAATCTCAGCGCAGAGAGCCGAGCACAAAGCCGCTAGCAGCCATTACTTAGGTGCGCTCCGCCCCTCTTTAGGCGAAGCCACTAGAACTGACCCTTCCCGCGATCCGTCGTGAGGCGGAGCAAACGAGGAAAGCTGGGCGAGTTGTGGCGGACTATGGAACCGGACGGGACCTACGAGCCGGGCTTTGTGGGTATTCGCTTCTGCCAGGAATGGTGAGGCCGGGTCCACAGAGGTGCCAGGGGAGCATGTAATGGCCCCAGGACTGACCTCTGACCTCCCCCACCCCACAGTAACAACATGCTTTACCCCAAGGAGGACAAGGAGAACCGCATTCTGCTCTACGCGGTGAGCCCGCGGGTGGTCCGGTCTTCCCCACAGGTCAACCCGTTCCCATCGTGGCCCTGTCCTACTCCACGTGACCCCTACTCCCCGTTCCGCCTCGACTGGCCCTGGTCTCTTCTGTCCTGAAATGAATCCGACTTCCCCGTCTTTCCCTGCCCCGAGGTGATTCCCCATGCACCTCATTGTCCCCACCTCGAGACTCCATCCCCTAATCACCCTCTTCGGGGGAGACCCTGCCTTCCCAGTCCCATCGGGGATCTCTCGTGACCCCCTTCCTGCCACGTTCGCCCTCCCGCAGTGCCGGAATTGTGATTACCAGCAGGAAGCCGACAACAGCTGCATCTATGTCAACAAAATCACGCACGAAGTAGAGTAAGTGTAGGACCCGACTCTAGGGACAGGGTTGTAGGACCCCCCTATCAGAGCATAATTGTTCATTCTCTTCTCCCTCAGCGAACTAACCCAGATCATCGCTGACGTGTCCCAAGACCCCACGTTGCCGAGGACCGAGGACCACCCGTGCCAAAAGTGAGCGCGCACCTGTATTCGGGAGGGAGAGTGGCTCGTCCTCACCCGGCAGAGAGTGGAGGAGCAAGAGGGAAGGTATGATAGCCTGAGTAGCTGACTGTTCCCTCAGGTGCGGCCACAAGGAGGCAGTATTCTTCCAGTCGCACAGTGCCCGTGCAGAGGTGAGTGGCATGAAGAACTTTCTGGATATCCTGTGTTTGGTCCTTCCTAGGGGCAGGGATACCAATATTGAGGGGAGTCTGCCCTTCCTGGTGTCCTCAGTTGGGCCCTTACCAATGGGGAAGGCCTCCTTGTCTGTTTTTTGGGGGGTGAGGCTCTGTTGGATGGAGGTTCCATGTTGGGCCCTCTCTAGGGGATAGACCCTTCCTAACCATGCATCCTTTCTGCCAGGATGCCATGCGCTTGTACTACGTGTGCACGGCCCCTCATTGCGGCCACCGCTGGACCGAGTGAACCACCCTACCCCAAGTGTAATAAATGCTCTGTTTTGTGTGTGCATGTCCTGTGTTTATTTGCTTCTCGTGGGTTGGACACAGGGTGCACTGTCTTAAGCAGAGCGGTGCAGGGCACAGTGCTGCAGGTAAGTATCAGGCCTTGAGCTGGTGAAGCCACAGTCTTCACACACGTGCAACTTCTCACGGCGCTCACGGTAAGTGTAGCTGGCTGGCTGCCCATGCACCTTGGCAAGATGCGTTTCAAGTGAGCAGCGCTGTGTAAATGCTTTTCTGCAAGCTCCACAGTGGAATGGGCGGATCCCTAGGCAAAGAGATGGAGGCAGAAAGGACAGACAGGGCAATGACCCCGACCAGAGCCAACCCACCTTGCCCTGTGAGCATTCCTCCATTCCTATTCCAAGTTTTGCATACTCTGCCGACATCCCGCCATCTGCAGCCTCAGTGCATTCATGGGCCAGACACCTGTGTCCTTATTCTCACTAGGATGTTCGTTCCCCTGGAGCCAAGAGGGTGGAGGGAGGCTTTCCCTTGTACCTTTCAATCTGGGACCTGAATTCTGTAACCAGCACCTGTCTTCACTCTGCACCCCTACCCCAGCGCTGCCTTACACCCAGCTCCTTCCGTACGTGGTGTTCCAAGCTGAGTCTCTGCCCCACAAACACAAACGAGAACTCGACCCATAGAACACCTTCCTCCATTTTGTTCCATCCCCACTGCGAGCCCAGGAGCCCCTCCATGTCCTTGCCACTGCTCACCAGTGTGAGTCCTCATGTGGCGCTTGAGGTCAAAGGCGTCATGAAAGCCTTTGCCACAACAGCAGCACATGTGGCGACGCACAGGGCTATGGCACTTGAGGTGCCTTGTCAGCATGCGCTGCAGCGGGAAAGCCTTGGGGCAGAACGGGCAGCTGAGCATCCCAGGGTCCCTGGGAGTGGTGACCAAAGTGTCCTTCATGGGCTGTGGGAGGGACATTGGAGTTAGACACACACACACACACATACATAAGCAAACGCAGTGCCTAGAACTTGGAACTAGGGAAGTCTGGGAAGGCTAGAGACTATTTGTGCAAATGCCATACTTTCTCCAAGGTCTTCCCTGGCCAGGCCCCATTGCCCTACCTTTTTTTTTTTATCCTCATCTGAGGACATTTTTTCCATTTTTTGTTCAGATAGAGTGGGAGGGAGAGAGAGAAACATCGATGTGAAAGGGAGGCATCAAGTGGCTGCCACCTGCATGACTAACCAGGGCTGGGGACAAACTGCAACTGAGGTACGGGCCCTTAACGGGAACCGAACCCAGTTCTGTCTGGACCACAGGCCAATGCTCTAACCGCTGAGCCAAACCGGTCAGGGCGCCCTTACCTTACTTTTATTTCTTCATAGTACATACTATCTTCCGACACATTTTTCTAATTTTACTGTTTATACTTACAGCCCCACCAGATTATAAACTCCAGGAAGGAAGGAATTTTTGTCACCCCTGCTAAATACCCATTGCCTAGAACAGTTCCTGGCTCTCAGTAAATACTGAAGTAACCTTGAGTGCATTTACATTTGGTCAGCGCTGTCCTCCAGTGCATGCACAGAATATCCCTTCTGAAAGGCCCCAGTCTCATCCCCCTTCACATCCTGCTCCTTGTCACTTTGCCTGATCCTCTGACATAAAGCAAATCAACATCCACTTGTTGGCTTGAATTCTGTTCTGCCCCACAGGACAGAGAGATCCCTGAGGGTAGGAAACTGTGCTTGGGATGAGGCTTAACAGCTCACTACTAAGAAAGGAAAGAAAGAATGGGTGGAGAAATCCTGAGGCTGGAGGAGTAAGGGGCAGTCAGGTTCTGTTGAGGCTGAGCAGGGTCTGTGGACCACCTGCAGACTCACCGCTGCCCAAGAGTTCCCAGGGCCGGAAGATTGGTGTGCCGATGGCCCCTCCAGGCTGCTGCAGTCTGAGAAGAGAAGCCAGATGGTGATGCTTTGTGTCTTCACTTCCCCTTACCTCCAGGCCTAGTGATGGGCCCACCTGGGACATAAGTGTCTCCCCGGAGCTGGTCAGGCAGGTGGCCCCAATTGGGTGGTTCCAGACGCCTACTCCTGACCAGGAAGGCACGGGGCATCACCTCCAGGAACTGTAAGATACACCACACACACACACACATACACACTGGGGCTGCCTCCTCCACCTGCTGTTAGCCCAGGATGACTATCCCAGGTGGAAAGGGAGGGGCAGCCATGAAGTAGCCTCATTTTCTCCATGCAAATTTCATGACAGGCCCAGAGAGCAGATTTAGCTGGCTCCAGTTACCTCTGCCTTGGGGCCCACCATTCCTCCCCCTCTGACAGGTTCCTGAGGGCACTCTCCAGCCTCCAGGGGTAGACGAGCTCTAGGATTCCCCAAGGAGGTCAAGCAAGGGCAAGGCTGCAGCCTAGGCAGCTTTTGGGGTTTGGGAGAGGACACAGAGACCCCAGGAGTGTCTTCCCATAGTACTAACAGCGAAGGACCTAAGGGTCTATTTGCCAGGCAAATCAGTCACTACTGGGCATCCAGCAGCCTGCTTGGTTATTCAAATCACAGCAGCTGTCTAAGGAAACAAGGGAGGGAGTGACTGTGATTACTTGCTCCAGCGGACGGAGGGACAACAGGGTCTAAGAAGGACAGAGTGAAGAAGATCCAGGCTGCGCATCTTCAAGCAGGAGATCCACCTCTCTGGTCCTTGGATGTCCAGAACTGATGTTCAGCCAGAAGCACACTGTTCAGGTGTAGCAGATATTAAAATACTGGTCTGTTGATAGTGCAGCTCCTGGTGACTGCCTGGGACACTTCTCCCCATCTCCCACATTCTAGAAACAGCTGGGGGCTCCAAGGACCTTATCTTGGCACTCTGGCCAGGCTGTGTTCTAGATTGGTCTTTGGCCTTTTAAGGAGGGATTAAGGATTTTGAACATTTCTCATGCAGTTACTTTCACTTATTTATTCAGTCAACAATTCTCTGAACTCCAATTATAGACCAGGTCTAACTCAACACTGAAAATAAACACAAAGCTTAGTCCTTGGAGAAGACACACCAGTGACTGCCCAGCATGATCATGGCATATTGCAGGAGGCACAGGCAGAGTGATCCAAACTGTGATGGGGAGAACCCGGGGGGTGGGGGTGTCCTGATCCTGCCTAAGGGTTGAGGGCTGACTTCTTGGGTATGAGCCCTGTAGGAAGAGGGTTGGGGGAAAGGGAGAGGTTCCAGGCAGAACAGTCTACTGGACAAAGGCTTAGAGGTGAAAGCAGCAGTATTTCTTCACATTCCCGAGAGTCCTGCTGACTCATTTGGGGAAGGCAGAAGCACCGAGTCTGCTAGCCCAGAGCTTTGCTACTCTATCTCTGCAGGATCTGGGACTAATGAGACTCCCTGTCTCTGGTTTGTGTTGAAGATCCATGCAGATCATGTGGAGAGAATGCTGAGCCTGGGACCTGGCATGCAGCAGACATTATCAGCAGAGGAGTTGTTAGGGGATCTTGAGGAGTGGGGTGGCTAGGCAAGCATCTTAGTTTCAATGGACCCATCTGTGAAATGTTTTTAAATTGTTGACACTGTTACAGATGTCCCCCATTTTCCCTCCCTTTGCCCACCTCCACCCAGCTCCTTCCTCCCCTTCCCCCAGCCATCACCACCCTGTTGTCTATGTCCATGGGCTATGCATATATATCCTTTGGCTAATCTCTTCACCTTCTTTTATCCAGTTGCCCAACCCCCTTCCCTCTGCGATGTGTCAATCTGTTACATGTATCCATGCCTCTGGTTCTAATTTGTTCCTCAATTTATTTTGTGGATTCCACGTATAGTATTTGTTTTTTTTTCTGACTGGCTTATTTCGTTTAGCATAATAATCTCTAGGCCCATCCATGCTGTTGCAAAGGGTGAGTTCCTTCCCCCTATTTTTACAGCTGTATAGTATTCCACTGGGGTTTTGTGTCACCATCTCACAATTGTTGAGATTTCACGTGGCCATGACTAGTATGCCTGGCAGCCCAGGATCTCGGAGCTGTCCGATGCAAAGTGCAGGGGCCAGGTTGCACTAAAAAATGAGCTGGTTGCACTAAAGAATGAGCTGGTGAATGAGGGAGCCATTTTGTTTCTGCTCAGGTGCCCAGTTCTCCATGCCCAACACGTCTCTCTTTTTTTTTTTATCCTCACCCGAGGACATTTTTTGTACAGAGTGGGAGGGAGAGAGAGGAAGAGAGAGAGGGAAACATCGATGTGAAAGGGACACATCGAGTGGCTGCCACCCGCAAAACCAACCTGGGTGGGCAGCATCACCTGGGCTCTTCTGCCCTCTGGCTTCCAGGAGGGTGTAACAATGGAAAGCCCTGCAGATGTAGGAAGGAATTCCAATTTCCTTCCTGTGGGGTTGCCCTCCCCTCAGGGCAGCCCTCTCTCCTGGATTTGCTCTTCTGGGTTTCATGTCCTTGTGCCTCGTGGTCTAGGGTGGGGGTGTGTGACAGCTCTCCTCTGGTACCAGGACTGCCCACTCCTTTGCCAATTATTCCTTCACTAAACTCTGAAATATCCCACGTGAACATGCTGGCTCTTCCCGCTGAGATCCTGTTGGTCCATAAACTGCCTGCATACACATTCATCAGCAGTTTTGTTTTTTTTTTTATCCTCACCCGAGGACATTTTTCCATTTTTTGTTCAGATAGAGCAGGAGGGAGAGAGAGGAAGAGAGAGAGAGAGAAGCATCAATGTGAAGGGACACATCGAGTGGCTGCCACCCGCACGACCAACCAGGGCCGGGGACAAACTGCAACCGAGGTACGTGCCCTTAGCGGGAACCGAACCCGGGTCTCTCTGTACTGCAGGCCAACGCTCCAACCGCTGAGCCAAACCGGCCAGGGCAGCAATAGTTTCTTAACCAAGAGAAAGTCTGGTCCTTCTAGGGCTAAAGGGCCTGGCATTAGAAAGTGGAGAGTGGCAGACATACTGGATTCTCGAACTACCAGCCCACCTCCTTTTGCACTGAGAACGCAATTTTGTTTAAGCGGCGTGTCC